GGGGATGCGGCGGCTGCTGCCGGCGGTGGCACCTGCGGGGTTTGGAGCGTGCAGAAGAGGCGCTGGATCCATCCCGCTCCAGCACCACGTGCCAGCCCTGGGAAACCGCTTACCAGGCTTGAGAGCAGGCGAAGATGCGTGGCGTTGGTGGTAGCTCTTTCCCTTTGCCATGCTGGGAGATGGGTGCGCAGTGTACCTGTTCCTCGGCTCTACAGCTGCCCGAAGCTCAGGGTGCTGTGTTCCTTTCTCGCTGGAAATTTGAGTTCCACACTGGTGTTCAGCTTGGACAAAGCTGCTCTCCACGGAAGGGATGAGTTAAGTTTTCTGCCTTTTCTAAATTTGAGGAAGGTTGACTCCATAGCGAGTGCATAAGTTATCAATGCTGGTTGCAGTGTGTGTTTAAAAGGAGAGAAAAGCACTTTTGCTTAATTGTGACGTTTAGAGAAAAATATTTTTTTAGCCCTGATTGTGCGTCAGTGTCACAGGCTGGCTATAGCTAGTAAGCCAAATTTATTTAAAAACTCAGGGCCTTCATTAGAATTTTATGATACTAGCACATTGGTCACAGTCCACACAGAATCTGAGGGTTTGTAGGCCTTGGGTTTCTTGGATGTTTACAAAAAGTATGTTCTGAAGTTTTATTTAAACCTCACACTACCATATTTGATATGGCCATGGTGGAAGAATGTAATGGGAAGTATTGGATCAAGTCTTGGTGTTCCTCAATAGAACTGATAACCAGGAAAGTACTCAGAAGCCTCACTCCCACTTCTAAGTTAGGTTTAGTTCTGGGAACTCTGGAGAGGGAAGGAATAACATGACTCCCTTGCAGAAAACTTAACTGAGTATATCCTATCTCACTTGCAACTTAATTGAGGTTCTGAGAAAGGAAACTTCTGTGTTTGGGAGGATCAACCAAACCAATGCCTTCTGTCTAAGAGCCTTTTGGCAGATGGTAGAGCACAGTACATAGCTCAAATCTTTCTTAACAGCTTACTCAAAGTTTCAGTAAATGAGGAGCTGGAGTTGTCTAGTCCAGTTGACAAAAGTCTTCTGCTGAGAAGTAATTTCTTGAGGACTTCAGAGTTGCCCATTGAGAAATACTCAGTTGTGCTTGTCAGTATTTCCCTGTGTGCTTTTAGTGCTTATGATTGTAAATGCTGATGCTTATGGCATTCAGTTCAGTGGATTTGAGATCACATGGGTAACTTTATTTGTTACCTTTGTGGCTTTTCCCTTCATCTGTTTGTGGTGTTATAGAGACTCTAGACTAAGACAAGAAGGGGAAAAAAGACTAGTCTGATAATTAAATTCCAGATTGTTCTTTCCTGCATGTTTGTTCATGAATTCTCCATCAGGCAGATTGCTTGCTTCATGGAAGCAATCAGATATGAAGAATATTATCCTTATTGTCTTGCAATGGGGAAGAATGAATATAGGGAGTAGGAGGGCCCTCTGTCACGGCCCTTTCTAGGAGGGGGAGCTGAAAAGCGCTGCATGAATTTTTGTGAAGAAACACAAAATAAATAGGGCTGGGGGAAGAAGAGCTGACTGCCCTGGTAGGCAGATTTCCTTGGCTTATTTTCCTCCTTGGAACAGAACAGATAGGTAATATAACAAAGAAAATGTGGAGAAGGGGTATAGATTACAGACAGAGAATTAGAAGAAGAAAGTTTGTGGAAGAAGGAAGCCTCACATGACACATCAAGTGATAAAACAGAAGAATATCTGTAACACTAAGGGTATTAGCAATCTCTCTTACCAAACACTTAGAAATTGGTGCAAGGAATGGGAAAACAATGGGTAATGCAGGATTCTTCTTAGCTGATCAAGTCTATAGAATTAATGAAGTGGATATAATTTGAAAGTGTAGTTACAGCTTGGGTACTTCTACTATAATCACATAGTTCTGAGTTCTTAGATATGAATAGTGTGCATTGCATTGTCTTTTACTGTGGATGGTTGTTAGCAATGTGCTTTTGGTAGGATTAATTGAAAAACTAAAGATGTTTAGTGCTCATGCTCTGAAAGGACATAATTTGGGGGTGGAAAGAATTCACTATTTCAAGTGGAGGTAGCCATCCTAGAAGAAAATTGAAATTGTACTTTTCTTCAGAAACAGAATTGCAAATCAATTCCCCAGGTGAATTAAGTAGGTGATTGTATTCAGGTTAGCTAATAGCATGACTTGGCAATTGTGCTGTTGCTCTTCTGCAAATGCAATTTGTTGTTCAACTGCTTTAACAGGGCAGTGGTGGAGCGGGGGTGGTGGTAGAATTACTTCTTTGTCATAACTTAACTTGGCTGTTTCTTCAATTTCTTAGCATCCAGAAAATGTAATAAGTAAGATAGAAATGCATAAAAACCCCATTTTTTTTAGCATGAAAAATGGCAAGACTGAACACTGTAATGTGTTGAAATTTTAAGAGCTGCAGCTGTGATTGCGTAGAAGTTACCGGTTATTTTAGTTATATTTTATGCTATTACAGATTACATTCTCTATCCTCAGGGGGTTCTGGCCAATTCAGCTGTAGCTATTATGGAGTGTTAGCTGATACTTGAAAAAGCAGACCTAGGACATATCATTATTATTTTATGATATGAAGCTTATTTCAAACCTGCTTAGCTACTCTAGTGACAGAAAGCATCTCTGTGAAGAACTTCCTAAAGTTAGACGACTTTCTTGGTTTCAAATGAATTACCTATTGTTTAATAATATTTGGAAGTGTTTCTAGTTCATTACTTTTTGTGAACAGTGCAAGGGTTTAGTAGGTAACTGAGGCCATTGCGTTGGTGAGAAGGGAAGCAAATGCTTGTATCAGTGACCCTGTAGCCTCATATCCCATCCCAGACATTTGGAGAAATTATAGTTTTGGCTTTGGTTAATAAAGAAGAAAACCTCCCAGTGCACCACTGGTTTCCAGTGGTATGTGTGTGTGACAGCAATTTCTTGACCTGAATCTGTATTAGTTTTATTGAGTTCAAAGTTTTCAGTGGATCTTCTTTTTCATTAGTTGGTCTAATAACTCCTTTGATCTCATTTTAATTTTGACTTTTACAGTGCCAAATAGCAGTAAGCTTTCTGGTTGTGTTCCTTAGGGAGGATTACTTCCTTTTCATTTCAAAATTGTTTTCTGGTAAATGCAGTTACTACTGAGTGCTCCAGTGAGTATTTCTGAGAAATCATTTCCTGTTCAGCTTATCTAGATATTACTCATGATCAGTGTGTTATCTTTCTGCTTCTCCTAATCATTTCCTTCTCCAAACCGAAGTCGTCTATTATCTCTTACCTGCATTGAAGATTTTGTAACTGCTCATGTGCTTGTTACTATCTTTCTTTGAGTTTCACTAGCATATGCAAGTATGATTTGTTCCTAAGTGTGAAGTGCAATAGCTGCCTCTAATTAGGATGCTGATATTTGTCTGATTTTTGTTCTCTCTGCTGAGTATCTTCATTCAGTAAAGGTGGTCTAATGCCTTTAATCTGTCCTTTCTTGAGTGTAATCTTTCTTGGTTTAGTAATGTTCTGTTCTGTCCTCTCTCCTGCCAACTGCTGTTGCAATGTTTTGGCAGAGTTTTGTAAAAAGAAGAAAATAAAAGCTAATGAACATTTGCCTGTTACTCTGCTGCTTTGCTGCAAACTAAACCAGAAGCCAAGCAACTAATTTTCTGATTTGCCTCTGCATTCTTAGCACTTCCTAGTGGCAGTCACTTTAAGCTTTGCTTTTTAGATCTTGCAAGGCATTTAGCTTGGGATTTGTAGATGCAGAGCAGGAGGTTTGGAGTGGTTCCTTTCATTCTGCCTGTAGCTATAATCATTCCAGGAGGCAAGCCTGAAGGTAGTGGTGAGCTTAGGACAAAAAATTTCAAGGATCATCGAGATGGTTAGAGGACTGGAATATCATACAGACACATACATGCTGAATGTGTGAAGGAGGAGCTCAGCTTTTTTAAAGGCTGACCAGGGGTTTTAGTTGCTGCCTTCAGCTAACAAGTGGGCAGACAATCAGACTGTTATTTGCAGGGTGAAAGGAGAAGAACCAACAAACCTAAGTTGCAATGACGGACACTCCAATGGGATAAAATGGAAGTTCTTTACTGTGAGGATGGTCAAATGTTGAGCCAGTCCAGGGAAGTTCTGGTGTCTCTGTCCTTGTGGGTATTCCAAGTGAGAGGATAGTGCTTGAGCAATGTCATGAGCCTTCACATTTGGCTCTGCTTTGAGCAGGGAGTTCATGCAGGTGGCCTTAAAAGGTCCCTTAGAACTTCCACTGTTTCATAACTGTAGAACCAATATAATCAATTACAGAGG